GCCAAGATCCTGCCACTGCCACTGCACTCCAGCCTGGGTGACAGAGCAACGCCGTCTCAAAAAGAAAGAAGAAAGAAAAAAATTGGATGTAATTTATGTGCAATTCTTTTGACAAAATGCTGTGGTCTCCTGGAGGAGGCATAACCACAGGCATCTCAAATAACAAATAAAACAAATAAAAAGCAAGAGAGAAGGTGTTAATTTTTTTTTTTTTTAAGTTTATTTTCTGGCTGGTTTGTTTCCCCAGAAAGCAGCTGTTTAAAATTGAGAAATAGCTATAACTCTTCTGTAATACACTCTGGGGAAAGAGAAAATAAAAGGAAGGAAAGCAAATACAATCTTACAAAAAAGCCTGTGCAGTGTTAGCTTAAATTGGAAACGTTCTGCGGGTTTGTTCTTCCATCAGCAAGGAACATATGAATATATCTGAGAAGAAAAAAATTAAATTCTCATTATACACAGGAAAAATTAAGCTACTTAAGAGAACTTATTAACAGTGTGTATGTTAGCATATTGCTTTGGGAAGAAGTGGAAAATGCTCTTTTGAGTATTCTCTACTTGATTATGATCTTGCATAGAATTTTGGGGGCATTAGTAAAACAACAGGTAGATGCTTATTATCTGCCACACCTGCTCTGATCAGCTCGATGACCAGCCCCATTCCATTCTGTGACTGAGAGGACCAAGGTGTTAGTGCATAGAGATCACAAGGGAATCCATGCAGAAGCCTCTGGAGAAGGGGCCCAGTGGCTCATGCCTGTAATCTCAACACATTGGAAGGCCGAGGCAGGAAAACTGCTTGAGGCCAGGAGTTCAAGACCAGCGTAGGCAACACAGCGAGACTCCATCTGTACAAACAATCTTAAAAATTACCCAAGTGTGTGGTGGACTGAACCTGTAGTCCCAGCTACTTAAAAGTTTGAGGTGGGAGGATTGCTTGAGCCCAGGAGTTTGAAGCTGCAGTGAGCTAGAATGGTGTCACTGCACTCCAGCCTGGGCGACAGAGCAAGAGTCTATCTCTAGAATAAGTACATAAATAAATAAGAAGCCTCCGTAATCTGCTCTCTATACACATTCCAGCAATTCAGCAAACATGCAGGTTACAAATTGTGTCACGAGCTTTGTATATTGTGGGGCTGCAATTTCAAATATAGCCCTTCAGAGAATTACTATTTATTTTAAATCATTAAAGGTAGAATCTCGTTTTTAAGGAATATGTTGCATGGATGCCAATCTCTTTACCAATATTTTAATCTCTGTAGTAAACCAATTCAGATTTCAAGACCCCATGTGTGACAGGTCAATGCTAAGCACTAATGGCAGTGGAAGGATAAATACAGTATTACCGGCCAGGTGTGGTGCCTCACACCTATAATCTTAGCACTCTGGGAGGCAGAGGCGGATGGATAGCTTGAGCTCAGGAGTTCAAGACCAGCCTGGCCAACATGGTGAAACCCCGTATCTACTAAAAACACAAAAAATTAGCCAGTTGAGGTGGTGGGCACCTGTAATCCCAGCTACTTGTGAGGGGGAGGCAGGAGAATTGCTTGAACCCAGGAGGCTGAGGTTGCAGTGAGCTAGGATCGCACCACTGCACTCCAGCCTGAGAGACAGAGACTCTGTCTCAAAAAAATAAACAAAACAAAAAAACCGTCCTTGCCTTCTAGATCAGTCTTGGCATGAAGTCTATCCACAGAAGTAATTATGACAAGTAAGTAATTGTGGCAAGTACTTGAAGAAAGTAGTTCGTGCATTTTGCTACATTTATGCTAATTGTGTCTATTTCAGAAAGGAAGTCTTTCAAAATGGTACAATGGTTTTAAAGATATATCTATAAATCCTGTGGTACTGCCTCCCTTAAGAGAAGAAACTGAATTCCTCTCTCTTGTGTAGGGGTTAGGGTTAGGGTTAGGGTTAAGATTAGCCAATAGAATATGGCAGAAATGATGAGACGTCACTTCTGTTTTTTTTTTTAATTGTGGTAAAATATACATAACAAAATTTACCATTGATACCATTTTTAAACATACAGTTCAGCGGCATTATATACATTCACATTCTTGTGCAGCCATCAACACCATCCATCCATCTCCAGAACTTTTCATTTCGCAAAATCTGTACCCATTAAACATAAATTCCACATTCTCCTCTCCCCCAAACCCTGGCAACCACCATTCTACTTTTTGTCTCTATAAGTTTGACTACTCTAGGTACCTCATATAAGTAGAATCATACAGTATTTGTCTTTTTGTGACTGGCTTACTTTACTTAGCCTAATGTTCTCCAGGTTCATCCACGTTGCATTGTGTGTCAGAATTTTCTTCCTCTTTAAAGCTTAAGAGTACTCGATTGCATGTATATACCATATTCTGTTTATCCATTTATCTGTTGATGAACCCTTGAGTTCCTTCTGCCTTTGGTTATTGTGAATAATCCCGCTCAGAACGCGAGCTTAGAGAGATCTCTTTGGGGTATATACCCAGAAGTGGAGTTGCTGGATCACATGATCATTCCGTTTTTAATGTTTTTAGGAACTGCCATACACCTGCATCATTTTACATTTCCACCACCAGTGCCCAAGAAGCCCAGTATCTCCACACCCTCACCAGCTAGAGCAGACTAATACAGTCTCACAGGCATTATTTGTAAAAATTATAAGAATAAAAGCATGGACTCTGGAGTCAAAATACTGGGTTTGAGTTCCGGTTCCAGCACTTACTAGCTCCGTGACCAAGGGATGTTATTTAATCTCTCTGTTCCTGTTAGGGAAAAATAATTGTACTTACCTTTTGGGATTATTATGAGGACTACATTCGTTAATATTTGTAAAGCAGTGTGCATGGCTCATATACAGTAAATGCGGTATACATGACAAATAACTAAGAAACTGATCCGGGCACAGTGGCTCATACCTGTAATTCCAATGATTTGGGAGGTTGAGGCAGGAAGATCACTTGAAATGAGATGTTCAAGGCCAGCCTGGGAAACACAAGACTCTGTCTCTAAGAACAAACAAAAAGGCTGGGTGCAGTGGCTCATGCCTGTAATTCCAGCACTTTGGGAGGCCAAGGCAGGCAAGTCACCTCAGGTCAGGAGTTCAAGACCCGTCTGGCCAACATGGTGAAACCCTGTCTCTACAAAAAAAAAAAAAAAAAAAAAAAAAAAAAAAAAATTAGGCTGGAATGATGGCAGGTGCCTGTAATCCCAGGTACTTGGAGGCTGAGGCAGGAGAATTGCTTGAACTAGGGAGGCAGAGGTTGCAGTGAGTCAAGATTGCATTATTGCCCTCCAGCCTGGGCAACAGAATGAGACTCTGTCTCAAAACAAACAAACAAACAAACAAACAAACAAAAACCCACAAAAACTTGTCGGGCATGGTGGTGCATGCCTGTAATCCTAGCCACTTCAGAGGCTGAGGTGGGAGGATCGCTTGAGCCCAGGACTTTGAGGCTGCAATGGGCTACGATCATGCCACTGCACTCCAGCCTAGGCAACAAAGTGAGACTCTGTCCCTCAAAAAAACAAACAACACACAACACACACACACACACACACACACACACACACACACACACACTGATGAGTCACATTCCATTAGTCAGGAAAATAAGAGCAACCTAAGAAACTTGAATAAGGAGTTTATTATTGGGAACTAGGGACTTACATGACCTCTTAAGATAAAAAAGGCAGGAATGGCAGAAGACAGGGATCACAGAGAAGCCACCACCGATCCTCGGCACTGACGTGGGTGATTCTCAGAGGACCATCAAAAACCTCAAGCCCACACCAGTGTCAGCTGTCTGCCTCTGCAGATGTCCACGTGTTTCTGGGGAAGAACAGTTACTCCCAGTCTTCCACCCACCACTTGCCTCTCAGATGTCTCTCTGTGCACCGGGGAGCCTGGAAAGTGGGGGTTTCAGGCTTTCAACAGCTCCCGGGAGGGTTCAGAGAGGTAGGGCTGACACCAAGTTTGAATAGACAGGGTTTTTATCTAATTTCTGATCATCTCCATGTGCGTTTTGCCTTCATTCATGATTAAAGCATTGATTAGAGTCCTAGAAGATCTGTCTACAGCTGTATTATAAATTATTTAATGTAAGGGGAAGCATATTTTATACTTCTTTTACTCTCCTTTTCTGCCTTAATAGAATTTTGCACCTGGAATGTACTATGGATGCTCAAGAGATTTTCATTTATTAAAAAAATTAAAAACCTTTATAACAAAAGTGACTCTATGTGATATAATTCAAACCACAAGGAGCCACTGCTGAAATTATTATAGATGAAACTTTCTTTACAAAACGTCTGTTTTTACTTTTTTTCCTCAGTTTATTTTACTTTTATTTCCCAGTCCATTCTCACACTGCTAATAAAGACACACCAGAAACTGAGTAATTTATAAAGAGGTTTAATTGACTCACAGTTCCACAGGGCTGGGGAGGCCTCAGGAAACTTACAATAATGGTGGAAGGGGAAGCAAACACATCCTTCTTCACACGGTGGCAGCAGGGAGACGTGCATAGCAAAGCGCACATAAAACCATCAGATCTCGTGATAACTTACTCTCTATCACAAGAACAGCTTGGAGGTAACTGCCCCCATGATTTGATTACCTTCCACTGGGTCCCTCAAAGAACACATGGGGATTATGGGAACTATAGTTCAAGATGAGATTCAGATGGGGACACAGCCAAACCATATCACCCAATACTAATAAAATTTATTATTAAAAATCAGTTCTTAAAAACACCACCGCCACCATTCATGGCATATCACAAAGACACAGGACCCAGCTTGATGAGGAGCTGAGCAGTCAGATCTAGGACAAGAGAACTCCTGGGCTCAAACGATCTTGAGTAGCCACCACACCTCAGGGCTACAGGCACAAGCCACCACATCTCGTTTGGCTAATTTTAAAATTTTTTTGTAGAGACAAGGGTTTCAACACATTGCCCAGGTTGGTCTTGAACTCCTGGCCTCAAGCTATCCTCCCACCTTGGCCTCCTAGAGTGTTGGGATTACAGGCGTGAGCCACTGCACCCAGCCGAAAACACCTTCCTAATCAAACTTTAACCTGCTGAGGATAACATTCAAGGTCAGGGTGGTACCACACCGTTTACTCCAAGACACTAAACTTGGGATCACTGAAATGCGAGGACACCACGGGGCCTTTCAGCAGGAAGACTGTGAGCACCCACTCTCACGTAGTCATGCTCATCCTCTCCATCATATTACCAGCTTACTGTCCTCATCACATAACGTTATCTGTTATCATTTTTCCTTGCATATCTTCTGTCTCCCCCATCAGAATACAAGATTCAGGGGAGCCAGGATCGTGTGTCTTGCTCATGTTGTTCTCGTGTCTGGGCCACGGTCTGGGCTGGCTGAAGAAGTTCTGAATCAACAGCATGAGTGTGGAGAAACTGGACGTCCTGGAGGAGAGAGAGAAGGCCACGTGCCTGCCCCAAGGCCAGCAAGCCCAGTGACAAGCGGCAAGCAGAAACATGTTGTGGGGCCCCAGAGAACCCTTAAAAGATTGCGAATTTGTTTCCTAGGATCGCAGTGTTTAAAGAAAGAAAATCTAGGCACAGGGACTCATACCCGTGATCTCAGCACTTTGAGAGGCCGAGGCAGGAGGATCACTTCAGGCCAGGAGTCAAAGACTAGCCTGGGCAACATAGGGAGACCTCATCTCTACCAAAAATAAATAAAAATAAAAATCAGCTGGGCATGGGGGCATGCACCTGTGGTCCTAGCTACTTGGGAGGCTGAGGTGGGCGGATTACTTGAGGCCAGGAGGTCAAGGCAGCAGTGAGCTGAGATCACACCACTGCACTCCAGCCTGGGTGACAGAGTGAGACCCTGTCTCAAAAAAGAAGAAGGAGAAGGAGGAGAAGAGAAGGCTATAGATGTAACCATTCTGCTGTCTGTGAATGCAGCTCCTTCATGTCACTTCTCTTTACCGTCTGACCAACTCTTCCACCCTCCCATTCCCACCTTAAGTCGCCTTTCCGTCTGCCAAGCAGTTGGAGGTGCCCTTATCCTACTTCCCAAGTCAGTTCACGTCTCAGTGTTAGGGCTTGTATTGTGTCGTTAGTCTGTCTGTTTCCAAGCCTCCCTTCCCCACAGACTTGAGTTTCTCTAGGATAACCCCTGTTATCTTCAAGGCCCACCAGTGCTGGTCACAGAGTGAGTGCTCCATGGACTTCATTGTGTGCATGACTGGATAGATAACAAGGTGACAACCTGCCTCTCAGAGCCCTAGCCACCCCTAGTGAGGCCATGAGACAGGGCTATGGTTTCCAGTTTGCACGATCTCCTCCCTAAGTTCACTGCACCGCACCTAGAACGAGGAGAATTGGCTGGTCCCACTTCTTTCCTTTTGGCTCTTCCAATAGTTTCCTTCCAAGCTATAAGGCCTTGCTCCGCAGATTTTAAAGTATTAAGAACTGGAATACTGTTCTGCATGTTTAGGTCAACAGAGTCAATTGATCCACAGAATGCACATATTGGTATTTTTTTCATCATTAGTTCTTCCCCTTCTAATGAATGACATTTGCCCCCGAACTCCAAAGTGATGTTTGATCCTAAATTACACATGCAAAGCAAGTTAGTTAAATAATGATTTAGTCCAGGTTCTCTGGCAAGCAGGTGACATCGGATAAGAGATTTATTGGTGAAAACACTGGGGAGGGACAGTGAGAAGGAAACAGAGGGTGATAGGAGAGCCATCAGATCATGACACAGGACTGCCCCCTGGGAAGGATGAGGGAAGGAGGGAAAAAAGCAAGGAGAGAAGGGAGTGGGGGAAGGAGGGATTAAGGGAGAGAGAATGAAAAGAAGGGAGGAGAAGGGAGAGAGGAAAGGAAGGAAGGAACTGGAGAGGAAAAAAGGAAGAGAGAAAAGGAGGGAGGGAGGGAGGGAGGGAGGGAGGAAGAAAGGAAGGCCGGCCGGCAGGCAGGCCATAGACTGCCTTGCAGTTCTAAGAAAGTTTCAGCAAGGTCAAAAGGGAGTCAGTGAGCCTGTTGCCCATTAGAAGAGCCCTACCTCCCAGGAACGGGCCTCCTTGGTATCCCTGCCATACTCAGTCATTGACTGGGAGCAGCCGTCAGGAAGTGTGGTCTCAATGTTGGGTACCCCAGCAGCTAGGGATGGAAATCAGTTATGCTTTAGGAGATCTGAAACATGTATTCGCATGCTACTGCAGACAACAATTTGTATAGTTTAACTACCCTCTGATCTTAACTGAAACAGTGGAGTGATCCACGGCAAATTTGGGGTTTAGTCCTCAAGCATCCACCTGGGCCTTGCTCTCAATTCCACTAACTAAACAGAGGATCGTAGTCACAGCATCCTAAAGGAAAACTGAGACGAAGGATCCACATTTTGCTAAAAATGTTAAGCCATAGCTCTGCAGCAAAGTAACTCCTGCTTTCATTTCAAAATACAATCGATGTATTACTTTTCTTCTGTTTCTGCAAGACACTGATTCGAGATGACTGTTGGATGCCTCCAAACAGGGGGGAACAATCTAGTGACTGTTAGTTGAAAGCCTTACTTATTTTTTACAGACTGATTTATGGAGCAAGAAATCTTCAATTTGCCTTTGCTGCCAAATGAGGCCACCTTATCATGAGCTAGCTTTACCTCCATGCCCTAGACCTGCTAGTGGACAGAATCTCACCGCGACCTACAGGCCTTCGGTCACACTGACATCAGCTAGGTTAAGAGAGTTGGCGCTTGCCCCAGTGAGTTGACTGTTTAGGAACCAGTGGTTGCAAGAGGCCTTCTTTGCAGAATTCACTCTGCTAAATCTCTCACTTGGGGAACACTTGTCAACATTTATTATTTATTTTTATTTTTAGAGACAGGGTCTCACTTTGTTACCCAGGCTGATCTTGAAGTTTTGGCCTCAAACAATCCTCTTGTCTCAGCCTCTCAAAGTGCTGGCCTGAGCCACCATCTTGGCCCTTCGTTTGGGGAATCTTTTCAAAATGTCCATTATAAACAGTGCTTGGATCCGGTGCTGACAAGCACTCCTTGGAGGTGATGAAGTCTGGTCTTGCATTCTAGCTCTCCCATATTGTTGTCAGCAAAGGCAGGTGACAGGTAGGCGAAGAACACTTAGAAGAAGCTTTCTCACAGAAATGAAACATGATGGGTTCACATACTTGGTGTGGTATTAAAAGAATAAAAAATTTTTTTGAGGAAATAAAACAGTGGGTTATAAGTGCTCTTTGTCATTCTTGTGTTCAAAACTCTGAGAGACAGAGACTTTTGTATTCTATTTTTATTGTACTGATTGTCACATCTGTTACAGTTCTTGGGTCTATCTTCTCCTAGACTTGTCACTTTTAATACCATCCGTATTTTTTCATATGTTTATTTTCTCAACTGAAAAACTGAATGGCTTTTAAAGCGATTGACTTCCAGGCCAAGAAGATTCTTTTCTTTTCTTTTTTCTTTTTTTTTTTTTTTGTGAGACAGAGTCTCACTCTGATGCCCAGGTAATGTAGTAGCAGTATCAGCTCACTGCAACTTCCACCTCCCAGGTTCGAGCAATTCTCCTGCTTCAGCCTCTGGAGTAGCTGGGACTATGGTGTGTGTCACCACAACCTGGCGAATTTTTGTATTTTTAGTAGAGATGGGGTTTCACCATATTGACCACGCTGGTCTCGAACTCCTGACCTCAGGCTATCTGCCTGCCTTGGCCTCCCAAAGTACTGGGATTACAGGCATGAGCCATCATGCCTGCCCAAGAAGATTCTTTTAATGTAGAATTATATACACAAAGAAGAAGCCTGGTAATGATTATTACAAAATTATGTGACTGCATTTTTCTTCATTTTCAAAAACATTGATTGAATGGAATTCTGATATATTTCTTAAAAATTTATTGTTTTCAGTGGTATAAGCAATTCCAAATGGACAAGATAAGAAGACGTACAGGCTCACATTGTGCTAATTATGGACTTTAAACGAAGTCTCTAGGCACTACTGAACACATAAAGTTCAGACAATGAGGAAATGCAAGAGTTTATGTTTTGTTATGTAACAAATCACCCCCAAAATGCAGTTGCTTAAAGCAGCAATCAGTCATTTGCTCCCAATCCTGTGGGTTAGCAATTTGAGTGGTTTTTGCTCACATGGGTCAGCGAGGGTCACTCTGGGAGTATGGGCCTCATCTGGAGAGGCTGGATTGACTGGGATGGCTGGATCCTCTCTTTATGTGCTCTTTCATCCCCTTTGAGACTAGTAGGAGTAGCAGAGTTCCCAGCAGCAAGAGAGGGCAAGCCCTTGTGCACAGGCACTTTTCAAGCCTGCACTGTATTTGCTAATGTCCATTGGCCAAAGCAAGTCACATGGCTAAGTCCATATTTAATGAGTGGAAAAATAGATTCAGTCTCCTAAAGGGCTGTGTTCCAAAATCACACTGCAAAGGGGAATACATGTGCATAGAAAGAACTGATCGCCGCATTTTGCTAGCAAGAAAATAGTGGGCTGGGTGCAGTGAGTCACACCAGTAATCCCAGCTCTTTGGGAGTCCGAGGTGAGCAGATCATTTAAGGTCAGGTGTTGGAGACCAGCCTGGCCAACATCGTGAAACCCCGTGTCTACTAAAAATACAAAAAATTATCCTGATGCATGCCTGCGATCCCAGCTGCTTGGGAGACTGAGGCGAAAGAATCCCTTGAACCCGGCAGACGGAGCACCACTGTACTCCAGCCTGGGTGACAGAACCAGACTCCATCTCAAAAAAACAAAACAAAACAAACAAACAAAACGGTTAGGAAAACACAAGTTGACAAAGGAATGTTACTGCTGCATGAATTTTGCTGAGAACTTGCTTCTTAACCCGTGAGAGCAACTTGGTTCCTATTCTTTCTCCAAGCTTGATCCTTCCAGCTTTCCAGGAATTCTCTAAGCTTTTCCAATAAATTCCGTTTGCTCAATATAGCCAGAGTTGATTTTTGTTGTTTGGTTTTTTTGTTGCTTAAAAGATCCTAGTGAACTGCAAATTCACTACAAATTCATGCTACTTCAGATTCAATTACAAAAAATAAAGTTAAAAAATAGTATCCTGGTCTTATTTGTCAAAAATGCTGTATGATGACAGCTCCACAGTGCTCTCTAGAGTAGCTGAGTAGATCATTTACTGCTCTTGGGACTTTATGGAAATATGTAATATTTTTAATCAATATTTACATTTATAGTAAAAATTTAGAAAATTCATAAAACTGCCAGGTGCGGTGGCTGATGCCTGTAATCCCAGCACTTTGGAAGGCTGAGGCGGGTGAATCACCTGAGGTTTCAGGAGTTTGTGACCAGCCTGACCAACATGGTGAAACTCCATCTCTACTAAAAATACAAAATTAGACAAGCGTGTTGGTGCATGCTTATAATCCCAGCTATTTGGGAGGCTGAGGCAGGA